GGCCCTCAGATACAGCGCTCGATTGCGCATAGTGGCAAATGCCTCAAATGACCCTCAGATACAACACTCGATTGCGCAWAGTGGCAAATGCCTCAAATGTGGTAYAGACTTGGTACTTAGACGTGATGWGCTCATGGCAYCCAAGATCGGAGCGCAATGTCACACTTAAATTCAAGTGTGCACAGTYGCGGTTGGATCATTATGCASAGACATGRCAAATCATACTCTATTCAAGTGCCCATTGRYACARCTWATCACCYWGCTTAAGTGCTYGTTGGCACAACTCATTATCAAGCCCTGTTTGAGTGCYTATCGRCRCAACCAAWAACTATGACAAAYRCTTGCTGAATATGGATCACGTAGCCCTCGGSGGACTCAAACCCAGGCATAACGAAGTAYGGCAGGGTTCACCGCATAACTCAGCATTTAATGRTCTTCGTGCTCAGAGYAGTTGATCGCACATCACCAGCCCTTAAGTGTGGTGAGCAAGGGCGCACAGTATCAACTGTCCTAGGCACAATGCGAGTGAGTTCCCAATCTCAACAGTTTTCAGKCACGGCGYTTGGSGCACAYRGTGTCCCTTGAGCACGRCAAGCSCGAGTGCTCARCACCTGCTGCCCTTGGGCTCAGTGCGTGYAGGTGGTCAAAGGAAGATCRRAACTTTGCTATGAGCCAATGGGCTCGCRGGGGATTAAACAGACCCCGCACATCCGAGTGAGAAGGAGGAAAAGAAGGGAGAGCGAGCAGGGAAGCAGAAAGAAGATGATAGGGGGAGAGACGAGGGAGAAAACAAAATGGTCCTTGTGAGACCGCCTTATTTCCCCGAGCACCCCTCCTTCCCWTTACCTCCTTCTTGCATGTCTTGGTCGTCCCTCCTTCTACTTGTTTTAACGCAGTAGCTTCCGTCCTTCTCCTTCCTCGCTGCCCCGCCAGTCGCTCCGCATCACCGATTGTGAGAGATTCTTACTTGCTGCTTCGCCTGCGTTGCTGTATTTCGCAAGTAGGCATGCTCTCAATCTGTCTGATCCGTGCCACGTATACCACGCATGCAGATCTGTTTTGCTGGGTGACGTGGCCTCTCTTTTATAATGGAGAGGCCAAGTGATCGGGGCTGTGCTGCAGTCCCATGGTTGGGGCTGTGGTCAAACTCTAGACCAGGCCTGTGCTAAAAATAGCAGCAGTCCCGACCTCGGGATATGAACAGCCAGTTCTATTTTTAGAACGACACTGGCGCAGGCCCAGTCCCCGGTAGATGAACAGTCAGTCCCATGCTAAAAATAGCGTGGGGCTGTGCTACTTTTAAAATGGGACTGGCGCAGGCCCAGTTCCCGGTAGATGAACAGTCAGTCCCACGCTAAAAATAACGTGGGGCTGTGCTATTTTTAGAACGGGACTGGCGCAGGCCCAGTTCCCGGTAGATGAACAGTCAGTCCCACGCTAAAAATAGCGTGGGGCTGTGCTATTTTTAGAACGGGACTGGCGCAGGCCCGACTTTGGGAAACGAACAGTCAGTCCCGAGCTAAAAATAGTACATGACCCTATTTTAATTATTTGGGCCTGGCTGCTCATCTATATGGCTACTTAGGGCTGTTCTTTTCCTGGCCGGGCTACGCGGTAGTGTCGGTCCGGTCCCAACCAGTCAAACTTGAATATCTCGCTGACCCTTGGTCCGTTTCAAGTGACGTTTGGACCGGACCCCACTAATTGATTCATTGCAGTCGTCGGTCCAGTCCAACGGGGACGATTAGTCCTCTAGAGGATCGTACCGTCGCGCCGCTCTTCCCTCGGCTTCGGCCCAGGGAAAGTCTAACCGAAGTACTAGGGTCCATGACTACGGTACACAATTTTTGACGCAGCGCGGAAGTTGACCGCGGCGAGTCAATTTCCGCTGCTGCGCCGC